TTACTACCTACCCATGACCCTAAACCCTAAACCCTAAACCCCAAACCCCAAACCCCAAACCCTAAACCCTAAACCCTAAACCCTAAACCCTAAACCCCTAAACCCTAAACCCCTAGACCCTAAACCCTAAACCATGAGCCTCCAAGTGGGCAGGAGAAGGAAGCCAGAGAAAAAGAGCAGAAGAAGCAACAGCAGGCCAGGGTCCGCCCAGGGCTTAGGGTTTAGGGTTTAGGGTTTAGGGTTTAGGGTTTAGGGTTTAGGGGTTTAGGGGTTTAGGGTTTAGGGTTTAGGGGTTTAGGGGTTTAGGGTTTAGGGTTTAGGGTGCTTAGGGTACAGAGTCACGGTCCGGGGTTCAGGGTTTAGTATAGGGGCCTTGATCATTTTCTATATTATGTTGGAGGGGTTCATTTATTAAAATTAAACTATAAAGGTTTAGTATAGGGGCCTTATTAATAATTTCCTATATTACTGTTGGGGGTTCTTTATTCTAACTATACTATAAAGAAGGACCCCCAAAACCCTATTCTAATTATTAAGGCCCCTATATTAGAGTCACGGTTCAGGGTTAGGGTTTAGAGTCACGGTCTGGGGTTCAGAGTTTAGGGGGTTTGGCATGATAACCTCCATATCATCCCAAAGGGTAACCTGTAAATCCCCTAGGATACTGAACAAGTCTTTAGTTCCCCCCTGCACTTTTTGGGTTCTTATTATTATAACTTCGTAGTATATAGTCAGAAAGTTTAACCTTTTATTTCCCTACCCTAAACCCTAAACCCTAAACCCTAAACCCTAACTAAACCCTAAACACTAAATCTTAAATCCTAAACCCCTTATTGGGGAAGTATGGTTCAGAGCCCGGGCTTGTCAGCGGCCTTTTGAAGGTTGGGGGCTCGAGGTTTTTGGGGTTTGGAGTGGCTGATCAGGTGCTTTTTTGGGGAGGGGGGGGAAGGGGGGGTTAGGGGTTTGAGGTTTTGGAGTTTAGTGTGTAGGGTTTAGACGTGTTGAGTTTTGAGGTTTCCGGTGCAGGGTTTAAATTTAGGGGTGCACAGTTTCGAGATTTAGGGTCGTGGATTGTGGGTTTAAGGGTGTTTGGTTTCGGCTTAACTAATATGCTTAAGAGTGTACGGGGATTCGAAATCCCTGGGTTCCTGGGCTGTAGACAGAAGTGACTCCAATGGGCGGTTGGGACAGGCACAACCCCTAAGGGTCCAAGTACCTAATAATCATATACTCTCCCTAATATTAACTATCCGCAACCAAAGTACCTCATTATTGGGTCCTTTGGACCCTTAGGGAACTGTTCATGGTAGGAAATTGAACAGGAGTTGGGTTCGCTGGCATACGATCCGGTTTCCTCGTGCTCACAGACTCAGATTACCCTACCCGACTTGGAGGTTTATGGGTAGTTACAAGTGGGGTTATAAGCCCCCTAATTTGGGTTATAACTATAGCTAACCCACTTATAGCTCCACTTATAACTACCCATGAACCTCCAAGTAAACCCTGAACCCTAAACCCTACCGCTCCTGCGCCCTTCACTTAGACCTAAAGGAATGAGGTCCCAGGGTCCTTATGAGAGTTGCGTTTATTACCTAAACCCTAAGCCCTAAACCCTATATAGTGGGGTTTAAGGAAGGACAGTTCGTGTTAAGATTTGAAAGTTTTGGGTTGAGGGTCTCCTAGAAGCCCTGGCTTTTTAGGGTTTAGGGTTTAGGGTTTAGGGTTCAGGGTTTAGGGTTTAGGGTTTAGGGTTTAGGGTTTAGGTTTAGGGTTTAGGGTTTAGGGTTTAGGGTCGTACTTCGGGCTTTCATAGACCCTCGCAAACCCTGAAGTCCCCCCTTTCCCTTTCACCATGATGAAACCGTATATGGGACCAAGGAACTGTACTATTTAGGTACATGGACCCTTATTTACCCTATAGGGATCCTTAAACCCGCATTATGGTACCCTTAAAGAAACCCTTAAAGGATCCCCTTAAAGGAACTCTTTAATTGGGTTTATGGACAATTCGGGAAAGGCTTCCAGAGCCACTGGAAGCGTTCATCTGTCAGGATGCGGCTGCCAAGCTCCTGCAGTCAGTGCAGGCAGGTGCTGTGAACCCGCTGAGGGTCACAGCGTGAGTCACATATATATATATATATATATATAGATACATTTATATGTGTGTATATTATATGTATATGTATATGTATATATACAAAAAACAGATATATGCACCGATAGACAAGTGGATAGATGGCTAGCTCGATAAACAGGTAGAAGCCCCCCTGGAATAAAGGCACACGCGGTATACGCTGAGTTGTCTGCGACGCTTGCATTGGTCTGAAGGATTCGGGGCCAGTGTTATTTGACCTCAGTGGTTTCGTGAATGCCGTTTCAAGGGACTAAAGGAGGGACCCTTAAAGGGACCCTTGGGGTTATATAGGGGCTTTATGAGACTATATAAAGGGTATATAAGGGTTATATGGGGTATTAGGATTAGGGGTTTCTTATAGGGGTCCCTGCTATTGTCCCGTAATTGTTTGGGTAGGTGGTCTTGTGGGTGAAGTTTCCCAGGTAGCCTGTAGAAACGGGCATGTAGGACAGGTTTGGCCACAAGGTCACGGATCAAGCCCTGTCGTTTGACCCTCAACCCAATAATATCTTACTAGTTTTACTGATTGAATGATCCTGCCTCCCGTACGTCGTGAACGCATGTGGAGGGTTGAGCGGCCCTGTTGCTTATATCCTATAACCCCCAAACCCTGAAGCCTCATCACTAAGCCCCGGAGTCTTTGTCCCTTTGTCCAAAGAGCCCTGCAACCCTTCAGCGCTAAAAACTCTTAACCCCAACCTGAACCCCAAAGAAGCTACCTTTTTAAGGACTTTATATAAAGAAACTATAGTAAGGAACCCTAAAAAAGTAGGTTCTTTGGGGTTAAGGAACGCCTCAAAATCCCCGAACCCTGAAACCCTAAACCCTAAACCCCCTAAACGCTCAGGCTGTGAAGCCCCGAATTCGAGCTGCATGGTCCACGAAACCAAAGGGTTTAGGGTTTAGGGCTTAGGGCCAAATATGCCCAGAACGGGGAAGCTCCCTCTGTGTTGCGAGGTTTAGGGTTCGGGCTTGAGGGGTTTAAGGTTTAGGGTGGAGGGTTTGCGGGTTTGGCAGCGAGCTAAGGGATCTTAGGGTTTGAGGGTTTGGGCAATTAGGGTTTAAGATTCAGGCTTAACGTGGTCTTGCGTTGGGAAGGCCGAGAATTAGAATACTGCAAGGGGCTTGCGTTTAGGCGGATGCCGTGGATAGTAGCTCAGGGGCTGAGTAGGTAACCTTTAACCTTTTGGGGCCTATATGATCCTACTATGATTCAAAAGCTTAACCTTTTTTTTGGGCTAGGGTACCCAGCCCCTAAGATTATGACGACATGGTGAACAGGCAGAGATCATGAGCGCGCCGGTGCTGTCCTGAGTTGGGTCTGGTTGACACTGATTGGGCTTTCTGGAGATTGACTGGACTGTTCCAGACCCCCAAAAGGATCTAAAAGATAGATCCCCTAAGGGGGTTCCTATAAAGTACCCCTTAGTAGTTAGGGTCCCAAATTAGGGGATCCATTTTTTAGATCCTTTTGGGGGTCTGGGGTTGGTATAGCCCAAACCCTAAACCTAATACCTGTGGTGCCCTGTGAAGGGTTTAGGGTTTAGGGTTTAGGGTTCAGGGTTTAGGGTTTAGGGTTTTCACTGGGTTCCTGTTAGGGCTGCAGAGCTTGTGGCACTAGAGCCTAAACTATTGAGTTGTTGCGGGTTTGCCTAAGCCCTAAAGCCTAACCCTAGGAGTCCATGTGCCCAAATAACATTGGCCCCAAAGTACCTAAATATGGACTACGGTCGAACTCTAAAGCCAAAGTATGTACTATTTGTGCACATGGACCCTTAGGGTAAACGCTAAACCCTAAGCCCTAAACCCTAAACCCTAAACCTTTAAAGCCGAGGCGCCAGCACCGAAGTCAGCTCCCCCGGCCCATGTGCAGGCGTCTCACAGGAAGTTGACGGTTTAGGGTTTAGGGATTTAGGGTTTAGGGTTTAGGGGTCGGAAGAACGCAAGAAGTACCAAGAGGAGTCCTCTGGGTTCCCCAAAATCCTATAGGGTTTAGGGTTTAGGTTTAGGGTAGTAGTTACCTATATTTTTTTTTTGGGGGGGGTCCTTATTATAATAATAGTAGAATGGGCTCCAAAGCCCCGTTCAAATTATCATAAAGGCCCCTGCAAAGAAGTCGAGGGGATCTGCAGTTTAGGCTCTTTTGAGCCACGGTTTAGGGTTTAGGGTTTGGGGTTTAGAGTTTAGAGTTTAGGGTTTAGGGTTTAGAGTTTAGAGTTTAGGGTTTAGGGTTTAGGGTCTAGGGTTGAGAGTTTAGGGTTTGGGGTTTAGGGTTCTAGACATGACTTCTTCCTTCGGTTTAGGGCGGAAGCATTTGGCGCTTGGGGTGTAGAGTTTCCAGCTGAGGAAATGTTGAGCTACAGACCACGCCCTTCACAGTCTCGCAGGGTTTAGGAGCTGACGTGTTTTAGAGGTTTAGGGCCTAAACCCTAAGCCCTAAACCCTTGGGTTCGGACAGCGTTTTTCAAGTCAGGTGGGCGATGGAGCTCAAGGCATGCGGCATATAACATCATAACTTAGATCTTTCATACTTAGCGAACGTATTTCTTAAGATTGATTCAATTTGAAGCTTGGGTTGGGGTTTAGGGCCCTGTCCGCCTCCGTCCACAAGCCTTGGGCTTGCAGCTTTAGCGTTTAGGACTTCGTGTGTTGGGGGTCGGGCATTTAGGGAGTTTGAGGGTTTGGACATGGCGGTGTAACACGCTGAGTCCTAAACCTTTGTCTGGGGGGGCCTTGCAGAACGTCTGAAACCCACATAGAACGGCGTTCAAACACGGCCTCGAACCACTTGCGGTCATCGGAAACCTGGGAATCACTGAAGCGCTATGTGTGCTGCATGGCTTGCTACTAACGTACGACTCACACGTGGCAGGCACAGAAGCGATCTTTGGCTTCTTGATGTGGTTCTACCTTCATGATAGCTCATCTTGTCCAGCGTAACTGTCATCATCAAATCGCTTGCACTGCACCCTTCGGATGAAGACTCGGCGCTCTGTCGACAGATGCTTGAGGGAATGCTGAATGACGGTATGACTGTGTCTGCACCGCTAGAGGACCACAACAAAGGGACCCTTCATGAAGCCATGAAGCAAGGTAGTTCTTCGTGCCCGCATAGCGTCCATAGAGGTAGGTGAGCACCACATCTGCAGCGTTCCTCTGGACTTGTGGAATCTTGGAGTGTCTACCACCAGAAACTCCAATCCAAGAGCTTCGAACAAAGGCCAACAGACGTTCGAAGCCACTGATATGTCCAACTGCAACACCCTGTGCAGCAAAGTGGCGGTGGATTGCCCAAAATGGAGGAGGTGGGTACGTGGATAGTTCTCTAAATTCAGGTCCTTTTTTAGGTCCCCAAAATAGCACGATACCCCTACCGAAAAGGACCCTAAATTTTAAAGGGACCCTAATTCAGAGCACTACCCGCATATCTTGCGGAGATTCTCAGGCTAAACCTGCAAGCCCGACAAGTGCCGAGGCTGGTGATACAATCCTACCACCTCTGCAAGATAAAGTGCCTCCTAAACCCTAAACCCTAAACCCTTAAACCCCTAAACCCTAAACCCTAAACCCTGCATGACCAGAATATGGTGGTCCGAATACTTAATGCTCATCGTCGCTATAGAACTCTATGTTAATATTCTCTGAAACCCTGTTCTACTTCTTAACACCCCTGCCACACAACAACAGAAACTATTAACCTCTTAACGGAACCTTATAGTATAAAACCAAAGTTCTACGTAGTACAGCCCTCATGTACACCTCTGTGCTGCACGGGTCTCTCCGCCCCGGTCCTTGGCGAGTTTGAGGATTTAGGGTTTAGGGTTTAGGGTTTAGGGTTTGAGGATTTAGGGTTTAGGGTTTAGGGTTTAGGGTTTGAGGATTTAGGGTTTAGGGTTTAGGGTTTGAGGATTTAGGGCCAGTTATGGTTTTGGGGCTCACGGTTTGGGGCTGGTTTAGGGCTTTAGCCTTTTGCGGCTTAGGGTTGACGGTTTCGGGTTTGGGGCTGGTTTAGGACTCCGCAACAACTCGAAGCAAAAAGGACGGAACCCCTAATATAGGGGCCTTATGGTTTTGAGGCCCATTATACTATACTTATAATTAGGAACCCCAAAAAAAACATAGGTAATTCTTCAGGCCCCTACAATACTTCATGCTTACCTCCCACAAGAAGATGGGAACGCCCGAACCAAGGCGCAAAAGGAGTTTCAACCCGACAACTACACCTCGAATACCCCCGCACCCCAGTAACCCAAAAAAAAGCCCCCTGAAGCGGCAACATAAAAAAGTTAGAAAATACAAACAGGTAGCCATATGCAACCCCTCATAAACCCGACAAGCCCCAAAAAAACCCTTTACTCCCCAGATTTAGGATGTTTTGTTGAACGCCTTTTTCCATCTGTCGGATTTACGGTTCAGTGTTGACCACAAAACCCTTATGAACCCCTAAGCGCGAAACCCTCAATCCCCACCCACCCCCCACCCCCACCCCACCCCAAAACAAAACAAAGCGGAGCATCCTCGTGGGCACCAGCAGAAGCTGCGATTCGTCAATGCCAGACTCCAGAAGTCTTCTTCGAAGCCTGTCCTGCCAAGGCCGCCCACGATGCTTAGTGTGGGCTTAGGGCTTAAGATGTTTTTGTTTTCTAAAGCCCCCTTTTGCGTCTGCACGCCCCTGTCTCCAGCCACCCACATCCACGAAAGGCCTTGAGGCCAGGCTTAAGATGTTGATGTTCAGGGTTTGGGAACCCTAAACCCTAAACTTAAACCCTAAACCCTAAACCCTAAACCCAGGGTTTGGGCCTTGGGGCTTAGCTAAACCTTCTCCGATTCAAAAGAGTCGAGGAGCGGCTAAGATCGGGGTTATAACAGTTAGGAATCACCTTCCCTTGTAGGGTTTTAGGGTTTAGGGTTTAGGGTTTAGGGTTTAGGGTTTAGGGCTCGATCTCCATCGAACTATGACCCGACAACCCCTTTTGGATTATTTCGGCCACTTACGTCATCTTACGTCACTCAGGTACTTTCAAAAGGCTTACACCTGCTCATGTTCGGCCATGGCCTGAAATGCATACACCCCTCCGCGCGAATTTCTAGGCCCAAGCCGCAACCTTCCACCTTATTGCATGACTTAGGTTTTAGGGTTCGGCTGTATCCCATTAAGAAAACTGCTGCCCCTTCTCCGGATACGGAGAGCTTTAAACCCAGACAACGCAGAGAACAACAATGCAAATGCAGCAGGAAAGCAAGCTCTCAAAGCGCAAGGGCTTTGGGGCGTGATTCTACGATGAGTCTAAGAGGGACCCCCAAGGCGTAATTCTGCTAAATATCCAAACGCCCAGACTCCACCCTGACAGCATGGTAAACCTTCAAGAAGGAACCCTGAACCCTAAACCCTCAACCCTTAGGGTTTAGGGTTGAGGGTTGAGGGTTGAGGGTTGAGGGTAAACCCTACACCCGAAAAGAACTTGTAGCAATCTCTCAGCTTGGTGTCCTTGGCGATCCTCTGGTCACCTTTTACCGCCTCAGGGTCGTGCCCTAAGGGCAACTTCGAGGCCTTCATGATTAGGGTAGGCTCCCGTTACGGGTCTTTATGTTAAGGGGTCTATGATGAGGGTAACCATAAGGCTTCTGAGCAGAGGACCTTACTACTTGGAATAGGGTTTAGGGTTTAGGGTTTAGGGTTTAGGGTTTCGGATGATGTTGTATGGAGAGGGAGGAACATCAGGGGATGTTACTAGACCTCTGTCGCATCTCCAAGTTTTTTGCCAGACTTCCTTGTTGATGTCTTTGTGGGAGGCTGAGCGCAGGAAGACGGCTGACATTCGGGGTACCACCTGCCCTAAACTCCCCAAAGACTCCAATATCCCGTAATTAAGGAATTTACCTTACATCATATTAAGGATCCTACTATAATTTAAGGTATATTCCTTCATAAAGGGATATTGGAGTCTCTGGGTACCACCTGCCCTAAACTCTTAAAGCCTAAACCCTAAACCCTAAACACCCTAAACCGTTAAACACTAAACCGAACCGAGGCACGACAAACACCGCCAGCTTCGACCGATTGGCCAACGTCTGCATGTAGGGGTAAAAGGACTCGCAGATGCAGTCGCCATCGATGAAGATCTGTGAGGCTTTCTCTTAGGGGTTCCCTTTGGTTTAGGGTTTAGGGTTTAGGGTTTAGGGTTTAGGGTTTAGGGTTTACGGTTTGGGGTTTAGGGTTTAGGGTTTAGGGTTTAGGGGCCTGTACGATGAGGATCCCAGTATTCATGTTCCTTTTTTTTAGGGTTCCCCATGTTCTCAAACTCCCGTCTTTGCGATTGATCGAGCTTGCAGATTGGACTGGCTCTCGATAACCTTGCTTTAGCATTCGTTGGCTGTTCCGCTGAAAGCTCTCCCGTTCCAGCTGATTCCCGAAACACCACCTAAGTGTTCGTTCACCCCTACAGGATCCGGGGGCTTAGTAAGTATGCTTATGCGTACCCTAATGAAGGTTATGATTATGTATACATGCCCTAAACCCTAAACCCTCACTGTGACCCTGGGTGCTAAGTCCCGTCATCCTTTAAGTGGCAGCCATCAGGGAACCAAGAAGCTTCGCCTGAATCGTGCGATGCCCCGGAGACCCCAAAACGGAAACTTGCTTGGGTTTAGGCCCAACATGGGAAAATAACAAATGTCCCAAAGGCCTACTTAGGGTTCGGGTTTGAGGGTTGAGGGCTTGGGGCTCAGAAAGCTATAGTCGGGAACCCCAAGGGAGCGTATCCGACTAGACTCCGCTGCAATGCTGAAATAGCCGCTGCCAAGCGATGAAAGGTCAATGGTCCCCAAGCTTCCAAGCAGATGTACAGCCCAAGGACTACCCACAGACCCCCAAACCCCTGATTTAAGCAATTGGGAAGTAAAAGCACAAACAAACACGTTGTTTAGAGTCGCCCAGAAAGCCCAACCTAGACATCTCTGAACCCTAAACCCTAAACCCTAAACCCACAAAGCCCAAGCCAGACATCCCTAAAACCCAAAGCTTCTTCGCTAAAGTCGGTTCAGGCGGCCCGCTGAACGTCGGCCGCCAGGTGGGCCTCGTTGAAAAGACCGGCCCTGGCCGAGCAGCTTGGGACGACTCGACTTCTCTATGGAGCCTTGATGATGTAGGGTTTAGGGTTTAGGGTTTAGGGTTTAGGGTTTAGGGTTTAGGGTTTAGGGTTTGGGGCTTAGGGTCTTAATGATGGGAAAAGGGTTCCTTTCAGGGTTTCGCTTAAAGAGGTCTGTAAGGGTTACTGTGCAGGTTTAGCAGAGCCTTCATAAGTGGAATGGGGTTTGGTGCCCCATAGACAAGTACTCGAATCCCCTACCAGAGTCTCAACCCCTTCCGCCTGAAGCCCTGAACCCCCTTACTAAACCTAAACCCTCAGTATGGTGTCCTGAAGGGAGGGGGGTGTAAGGTCTTTAGGGTTTAGGGTTTAGGGCATACGGCTTGAGATCCTGAACCCTCAACCGTAATTTAAGCTACAACCCTAAACGCTAACCCCATGTGCTTACGAAAAGCCCATCTAAATCTCTGATATCGTAAGGATTAGCATATGCTTTTTTTTGGTGGGGGGGCGGTATATAGCATTATAAAGCTATACCAGAGACTAGAGCGGGATGTCATTAATATAGACCTATTCCAGCCCCCTATATTTAAGCCTCACTCCGGCCTCTGCGAAGGGTTTCCGGAGCTGCCCACCGTAGCACTAAAGCTGCAACTCCTGACTTCAACTCTGCGTAGCTCTGCGGAAGCAGAGATCAAGCAGTGCTGCGTGTAGTAGGAAGACTATCAAAAGATTATCATATCAAGTGTGCGTTTAAGGTTTCTACCATAATGCTAACGAGACATCCTTCTCTTTACTTATGCTGGCCGAGCAGGAACTGGATTTCAGAAGCCCATCGCTTTGTCAGATTCGTACGCGCTTAACTCGGATGTGCGGATCGTATGGACCCTCTAGCTAGGCTGATCTAGATAGATGCAGCAGGAGACATCAACAAGATGACTGGTAGATGTCAACGGGATGAGCTGGCAGCAGCGAGGTTAATGATGACCGTGCTAATATGAGATGGCGCTCAACCTGAAAAAGGTTGACCTGCGGATACGGTGCTGGTGGAAGACACGCAGTGAGTTACGCTGTCCCCCACCGGAGTGGAGATACTCGTAGCCGCCCTGAACCTTGAACCGCACTCAACCTTGAACCAACAATTGATGCTTGCATCTCAAGGTCCTTAGACCCATGATCGTGGACAAAGTGAAACCAGCGGACAGGGGCCAGCGATGCCAAAGCCATGGGCCTGCAGAGACAGCCGGCAATGCTTCCGCCGAATATAAGGTATTGAAATTAGACTAGAGATTTTTTGCATATGTTACTACAATCACACCAAGGAACCCTCGGGAACAATGCCGGTAATTATTCATGCTTCTAGTCTACCTGAGAATGTCACAGGGAGGCGCCGTCAGAAGCTGAAGGAGCACTTTGTAGATACTTACAGACTGAAACGTACTGTGAACCGTTTCCCCTAAACCTTAATCCATAAACCTTAAACCCTGAACCCTGAAACCCGAAACGGTAAACTCTCACGTCTAAATGAAAGATGCGCGATCCTCTGGCTACTGGCTCAAATGCGCCTGTGGCCAAAAAGCCTGCTTGCTTATGGATTTTTGGATATTGCAGCAAGCCCAAAACGGACGGTTTTTCGGCTACAGCCCCAAACCCGAAACCCTAAACCCTAGACCCTAAACCCTAAACCGAGGCTTCTTGACTTCTCGAGCTGGGCGGCTTCTTGCCATCAGCCTCGCGTCCTTACGGGCTTCCACTGCCGTGAGAACCACTGTTTGGGCTTTAGGGTTTAGGGTTTGGGGTGTGGGGCCTTCTTAGGGCTGTCGGGGTTTGGGGTGTGGGGCCTTCTTAGGGCTTTCGGGGTTTAGGGTTTGGGGCCTTCTTAGGGTTTTCGGGTTTAGGGTTTGGGTTAGGGTTTGGGGNNGGGGTTTAGGGTGTGGGTTTGGGGTGCCGAGTCTTGGGCTTGGCGTTTAGGGACTCTCTTGAAGCAAAAGCTTTACTGCTTGTATCCTCGTAGGCTGATGACTTTAAGTCTGCAAATCCCTTGCCCCTCGCGCCAGAACCCTGTAGTTAGTAGTAGTAGTAGTAGTCGTCGTCGTCGTAGTAGTCGTAGTCGTAGTCGTAGTCGTAGTCGTAGTCGTAGTCGTAGTCGTAGTCGTAGACGTAGTCGTAGTCGTAGTCGTAGTCGTAGT